AGTCAATGAATATGGCTGACTGATAGTGTTTCACGTTATAAGATCCAGGTTAACCACAAGGGCCAAAAAGTCCTACTCTTTTCTATTGATCCTCCATCCAGATGAAATAGAAGTAGTGACTCACAGAACACTCATATGTCCTTTTTCTTTAGGAAGGCAGCTGTGGCAGAGAAATCCTTAATGAAGACAACTTCATATTCCATTTTAAATTAGGGAGCCAAGATTTCTAATTCACAAGAACACTATTTTTGAAGCGGTGAAGTGTTCAAGCAACATGATTTTATATTGACATGCACCTGCCCCTTTGTACTACCTAAAATTACCCGAGAGATTTATTTCACAGAAGAACTTCACCACATTTTTGCAATAAAAAAAAAATTCTGACCTTGGGGCTTGTTTATAAAATGTAGTTTGAGAGCCTATTTACACCTTTATGAGCATTTACATATAATTTTTTTCATGCATTGACGTGTTGTGTAAAGACAGCCCATTAACTTTAACTAGGCTGTCAACACACAAGCACCACAGTACACCTCAATGCATTCACATCCGTGTGTTGTGGTGTGCTAAAGCACAGGTGTGTTTTGAGAGATGGTGTGAGATGCCTATAGCAACCGATTTATGCTGTGATTATACTATGTGGGTTGTAGAGAAGCATCTGACAGGTTATATATATTTTGCCTCTGCGGTTTGCAATTCACATTATATGTTCTAAACCAGGGGTCACAAAATACCGCCCGTGGGCCGGTACTATGTGGCCCGCAGCCAGCTAGCAAGTCAGGCACTCTGTCACGGACCGCGTGCCCGACTTGCGGGAGCAGCTACACGGTCTGCTCATGTCAGCTCCAGCCGGAACTCTGTCAGTTCTGAGCTCCGGCCGAATGATGGATGATTAGTAAGGCCTGCACTAGACCTTACTAATCACCACTAGATCACCAGGGAATGATGATGTGCCTCCTCTCTGCAAAGATGCAAGCAGGTGAGGGGGCTTCGAAGGAAAGGAGGGAAGCTTTATTAATATGTGTGTGGGGGCTTGGGAGGGAAGTTTATTATGTGTTCTGAGGACTCGGGAGGGAGGGGAGCAGTTTATTATGTGTTTTGGGAGGGAGGGAGTGGGGAAGTTTATTATATGTGCTGGGGGGGCAGTGTACTAAATGTGTCCGGAATTTATTAATTCCTTTTTTATTAAATATTTTAATTTTTTACTTTACTTTTAGGGGCTACGGGGAAATATCAGGGGTCTAAACAGACCCCTGATATTTCCCTTTTACAACAGAAAAAGAGATTGAGGACACAAAGTCCTCAATCTCTTTTTCTGTATCCCGTTATCAATGAACAGGAATCCTCTATACTGAGTGTTCCTGTTCATTGATAACATGAGAACAGAATATGTTTACTATAACCACAACTATGAATGAACAGGAGGTGATGTAGATCACTTCCCATTCATTAATAATTGAGGATATAGTCAACATGCTATGTCGTCAATTATTTACATACATTCAGCGATTGCTGAGTGTTTGCATTGGCTCTCCTTTCGGACAGCTGTCTCAGGAGGCTGGGCGGGGCAGTGCTGGGAGCACAGCTCAGCCTCCTGTGACAGCGCGCTGTCTCCGCCCACACACCGCTCTGCCGGACTGTGACAGGAGGCTGAGTGGTGCGGGGAGGAGAGACGCCGGCCGCTCACAGCGCTCTCCTCCCGTAGCGCTCGGCTGGCTGTCATACTTTCTCTCCTCACCGCTGGGATACAGGGCAGCGCCCATGGGGGAGAAAAGAAGGCAGGGATACGCCGATGTATCGGCACAAAAATGGCACTTTCAGCATTTAGCTAAAAGTGCCATTTTCAGCCGATTTGTTTCGGTGGCCGACATATTGGTGCATCCCTAATAAGGATGTAATAATTTTTCCAAATTACAAAGTGCTCATACACAGTACAAGAGTGTCTCTCCCTTTGACATTAATAAAGGGCTAAGAAAGTCAGACTTTAGGACAAACTTTACCTATAAACTTGTGGGGCCAATGCTCAGACATGCAGAGAGTAATGCAGTGGGACTTTTGCATATTGAACAGGAAAGCACTGCAAAAAAACAAGTCTTTTGATTGCTGCAATCTCCAATTACCACCCAAGATGAGCCTGAAGTAGCGAGGAGATAATGGGTTACACCATCAATGCACGGGGAGAGATTTAAAAAAGAGTGCAGCATACTGTGAT